CATGTTTGTGACTCAAATCAATTCACATTCATGAAAAGGTAACGACTGGAATAATGAAACGAATCGAAATAAGCGAAAACGAAAGCAGAGTCTAAAAAATTGGCGAAAAAGAACAACTGAGAACGAACGAACCATCTATCGTCGAGACCCTTCACGCACTTGTCCGCATCCTCTTCGTTCTCGAATTTCACATAAACATTACCAATCATATGCTCGCCGATATTATCACAAATGTTCATCTCGTCTATTGGACCGTACTTGTCCTCCAACTCAACGAAGAGCTCCTCGAAGAATTCCTCGAAGTACTGTTGCTCTTGATCGTTTTGTTGACCTGCCTGAACGAAAAACGTTTTCACTCTTGCGACGAAATTTTCTTTTTCGAATTCTCAGTTCATGCTTCAACAGATCAGTTTTCATGAATCCGTCCGAATCTTCGTCATGAATCAATCCTTGGGAAAGAATGTATGTGACAGACATCGCAGTTTCGCGTTCCGTTCATAAGTTCTGTTTGGGTGAATTAACCAGAGAATATCAGCGCAATTGTGCCGAGAATCTAAATGAAACGACCAAGTGGAATTCTTCAACTGAATATATCCAAACTGGTCAACGGAAACATCACATCAGAACACTTGCAAAAATGAAATCACACTTTCCAAGTGAACCGATTCTTTCGATTCACTTATTGATCGCATACCACATTACCTGATATCGACGCCTCTCTCATCATTTTTTTCCGTTAAACAACTCAATTCTGTTTCTTTTTTCAGTGGTCCCCTCCCATTTTCAAAGGTGGAGAAGTAATTTTTTTCTTGATAAATGTCAAACCTACGAAAAAATTCCTGAAATGAAGTTGAAGTTGATCATTCAAAAGAAGAGTGACTATCAAATTTTGTGCAAACTCAATGATACAATTGATGTGATTCAAAAACTGAGTAAATTTCTGAAACGAATTGAATGGATGGTATATAATGCTACTGGAAATTGAAAATAATTTTGTAATACGACTTTTTTCACAAGGATCAATACGACATTCCAGAACAAAACATCCTGAAATAGATTATCAGTCAGTTGTTACCCTAAACTTATACTCAAACCCCACAAACATAGCTACCAACCAAAAAATATACGGGACAAACGAAAAGGATCACTGGAGCCAACAACAAAAATTTGGGTGCCCTAGGCTGAAATTGAGAGTGTTCAGGGCGCCTTACCACGATTTTACTAGTCAAATTCAGATTCATAGATAGCCAAGTAGTAGTTAGTGTTTGTGCTTCTCACGCCTTTCTCGTAGTGTGACGTGCTTTTCACTCAGCACAAAGCTGATTGCACTCCAATAACAATTTACAACAACTCATTGAACCTCTGAAAATAGGTGCGCTTTATGTGCTAAAACAACTGAGTTTATGTTCACACCTTTTCTTACAAGACAGCACCATTAGTTTCATTAGTATCATTTTATAAACGATAACTTGACATCAATCAAAAAACATCTAAAACAATTGTAACATTCAGATGAATCTGAACAAATATTACAGACTCACATGATCGATCGATGATATACAAATACGCTGGCAAACAAACAAATCTCTAGCGATGACTCTAATTTGCAAGTGACGAATATTGTTCATACTTGCCTAATGACAAACCAACTGATTCTGATGAATCTCGATAAACTCTCTAAGGTTTCCTAACAGAATCAAGCCGGAAATTTCGAGAATCCTCAAAAAGTTGTGTCATACTCACTCGATTACCTACCTTGACTGTATCACTATTCATTAACCTGCATTATTAGAATCCAGTTCAATCAAATTGGGAGCTTTCTGGTAGTCAATAATGTTTTTTCGAATGAGCAAATAGACAATATGAACAGCAATTCAAACAATCCTTTTTTTGGAACAAAATGCTCTTCAATGAGTCGTAATACGAGAGATAATCAACGAGAGTATTCAAATAAAAACCTTTGCAAACGCATCCGCTTGTCGTGTATCGATCAATGGATTGTGATAAAGATTTTTCAGTAGAACTGTTTGTGAAAATGACGGCATTATATGCGTTCGGGAACATTTCTCACCGTGGCGACAAGCACCAATTTTGAAGTAGAATGAACAATT